ATTATATCATCCCACCCAGGGGATGCCCCTCCCTCATGCCCTGTACCACAGGGACAAGTGTCCCAGGAAGCTGACCTGCATGAGCGGTTAGAAGATGGATAGATAGATGCTCGTTTATTACATGTATAGCATAAATGTTATAGCATCTAAGGATGATAAATAGTACTAACAACAACTTTGCACAGCATTTTTTTTCATATCAGCTACAGAGCAGCTTTTTACCTTACAACAAATGATAAAACCAAAACAAAATCACAGTGTAGCAGCTCAGGGAAAGTGTTCCTATCCACAAATTCCTTCTTATGTTCCTTTCAAAACAAAGAGGCAAAACCCAGGTAAATCATCCCTCCAGGATAACATGTTCACGTCACTTCATAACATATGCTTTCCTGTGCCCAACAGTACTGTAAAGTTACATTTTTCCATGATTTTTTTTTTTTAACTGCATCCCAAATAATATTTTTTTTCTTTACTGTCATTACCGTTTCTTTGAGATGTAAATCACAATCTTAATGTTCTCTCTCCAGTTTCACTTTTAAAACTTACTAGTTCAAATATATCATATTCCAGTACTACTAAAACATTCCAAGCTTCTTACAAACAGTTTAAAGTATCTAACATGCCATTTGAACTAAAAATATACTAAGCTGGATACAAATCATTACTTGAATTGGCATATCACATCTTTTTTGTAGTGGAGACCGTATTGTGCGAGTATTGTATCATCAGGAATCTAACACTATATGAATCATCAGGTTGATTTGTTCGTCATATTGTTACTTGGCTTGGCTCGTGGCTCTCACTTTTTCTACCCAGGGGAGCTCTTCAGAGTGTCCTACTTTTAATCTGACAAGAACAGACAGAATGCCGGGCACCTGCGGCCTATTACTATGACAAAACATCAGTCGTCTCGCTTGTTCCACTTACTGGGTTTAGACCCCCTTGCTCGAAATGAAAATAACTGACGAATGAACCCAAGTTATTTCTCAAAGCTAAGGTGATGTGCTGGCTTGATGTGATTATTTTGATTTATGAGATGACTGAGGACAAAACAGAGCTGTGAGTATACATTAGAAATGGTCTCCTCAACCCTCATATGACTATCTCTTGAAGTTAAAAAAGATCTTGCATAATTTTACCCTAACTGATATTAAATGGCATAACAAAATTTGCTGGCAGAAGTAAAATGTTTTTTCATGTAAAAGAATTGCTTCAGGTCTGGAGAAAGTGCAGGCCACTCCATTCGAGGTACCCCAGTCTCCAGCAGCCATTCCCTAATGATGCGACCTCGATGAGATGGAGCATTGTCGTCCATGAAGATGAAATTAGGCCTGTGTTGTTCATGCAGGAGCACAATGACTGGATTAATGATGTTATTCAGGTAGTGTTGGCTTGTCACTGTACCATTCACAAAATGTAGGGCAGTTCTGTATTGACTAGACACACCTTCCCACACTGTAACTCCACCACCACCAAAGGCTCGTCTGGTGACAACAGTGGCTGATGCATAGCGCTATCCTTGATGTCCCCAATATCGTTGGCGGCCAACATTTCTGCTCAACGTGAATCAACTTTCATCAGAGAATAGCACTGGGGCCCACTGGTCCCTCGTCCAGCTTAAATGCTCCCTGGCCCATGCAAGACGATGATGCCTGTGCCTGGTGGTGTGGTCAGGTACCCTTGCAGGTCATCTAGCACGCAGACCACGCTGATGTAAATTGTTTCTAATGGTCTGACGTGACACTTGGGTGCCTCTCACCTCCCTTAAATGTGCCTGGAGTTGAGTGGCATTCATCATCCGATTCTGCAGCGCACTGTTCACAATGAAGTGGTCATCAGTATGGGATTTGGCCAAAGGACGTCCACTTCTATGCCTTTCTGTGACTCTTCCAGTCTCTTTGTATCTCTGTTGCAACCTGCTGATGACACTCTGTGACACTCTAACCTCAGTGGCCACTTCCGTCTGAGAACATCCTGTTTGAAGCTTCGCAATGGCGAGGTACTGTTGCTCAATTGTTAGGTGTTGTCTTGGTCTCATGATGTCAAAATGTGAACAGCATAATGAGGAGGACTGTTTAAATACCAGTTCTGATTGAACTAGGAAATTTATTGGTCGATTCATGGATCAAATACCTGTTGTGAATTTTGCTGCTAAGCTCCTTATTAGAGTTGTGTAAAAAGTACTGAAACATTGAACAGTTGGACATGTGCATTCAAAAGTTTAGGTTAGGTCACATTAAGTTCACCTGTGTTAAGGTTATATTGCATAGCCGAATATCCCTAACGTTTTGTGAGTAGTGTGTGTATATATATATATATCCATCCATTGTCCAACCCGCTTATCCTACTGGGCCGTGGGGGGTCCGGAGCCTAACCCAGAAGCAATGGGCACGAGGCAGGGAACAACCCGGACTCACACACCATTCACTCACACATGCACACCTATGGGCAATTTAGTAACTCCAATTAGCCTCAGCATGTCTTTGGACTGTGGGGGGAAACCGGAGTGCCTGGAGGAAACCCGACGACGACACGGGGAGAACATGCAAACTCCACACACATGTAACCCAGGCAGAGACTTGAACCTGGGTCCCAGAGGTATGAGGCAACAGTGCTAACCACTGCACCGGCATAAAAAGACAGACAGACAGGCAGACAGACAGACAGATGCACGCACGCACACACGCACGCACTCTCTCTCTAATAAAATAAATAAAAAAATAAAGATTTATTAATTATTTTTATATTAATAATAAACCATTAATACATTTAATTATAATAATATTGTCTTGCCGAGCGGGGACGGAATGGAGACAAAGGCGCAGACGTCAGGGTATCGGGGAATACGGGGTTTAATTACAGGAAAGGCAGGCAAAACGCAGACGGACAATACAATGACCGGACAGGGGAAACAAACTGAAACACGGACGAAATACAGAGGACTAATGACAACAACCAGAAACAGCTGATCACACGGGGATTCCACACAGGGTTAACGAGGGGGCGTGGCACACGGAAGGATCGGACGATCGGGGCAGGACACATTGTTTTTTTTTTAAACTTTACACATTGTTAGGATACATGTGTGTTCAGTACTGTCAGTACTGTCTTAGGCTGTAAAAGAAAATGTTAAAAGTTAAAATTAAGCAATAGAATACATGTGAATACACAGTAACACAATTAGGAAATAAAAATAAAAAAACAAGAATTTCTTCTATTGTTATAAAAATTCTAAAAGTTATTGTTAGTTGGATGATTAAAAGAATGCTTGAAAAGAGTGTTTGAAAAGTTCACTGTCATCAACTGAGCTAGGTGTAGAAATAAGTATTACCAAGTTGGTTTTTATTAATCTGACTAGTTTACTATGTTATTTTTTTTTTTCTCAACCACTTTGAGATGTGCGGTTATATGAAAATAATTAACCTGGTTAGTGCTTCTCATTGACCTGCATTACCCCAATTTGTCATTGATTATTTTTGTATAACCACACACCTTGTCATGGTTTATAACTTGCATATATATACATTCAATATGTGTTGTTACTTTCTGAGACATATACTTCACCTGAAGCAGAAAACAGAGGTGATAATCATAAGAGAATGGTTTGGCACATACATGTATGTTAAAGGTCAGCTAAGGAAATGAAAATATTCAATGCAGAGCAAAGACATTCTCTGCTGGCACAGAAGCAGGTCAAGATCTTCTGTATGTTCAATGATGTTCTTCTGTATGTTACTGTAGATTGTGACAGAACATGTAACCCTTCTAGGAGTGAGTATCTATCTATCTATCTATCTATCTATGCAATAATAAATGATATGGCTGACCCTTATATATCGGGGAGGTTAGGGGCACTGTACATATATGTTATGCGTTTATTAGTTATTAAACTTTTTTACCATTGTCAGTGTCATTTCATGGCCTTCAGGTGTCGTCTGCAGCTTTCACAGAACTCCCAAAAACTCCCAACATATTACTAATTCATTTCTTATGCTGACCTTGTGATATATCGAAACAATAACAGGGAAAGTTGCTATGCAGAAGGGTCGACTGTAATTACAATTTAACAAGCATGATGAACCATAACAGTGCAATGGAATGCATAATTACAGGCATCTAAATTACAGTTCAATGTACCCTCCTGAGCAAAAAAATGGGCCAAACCTTAACTGCACGACATTAAGCTTTGTCCTATGATTTTTTGCCCAGGGCCTGTTTTCGCAAAGCGTCTTAATGCTAAAAGTAGCTCCTAATTTGCTTATATAGGACAAACTCCTAAAAATTATGGGCATATCACTCTTAAATTTCACTTAATTTTTTCACTAAGAGTAATTCACAAACCAGTTTAGCAATAAAAGTAGCTCCTAAGTCCGGCAGAACTTATAAGTTATCCAGAGGACTCCTAACTCACTAAGACCAACTCATAAAGAATCCCAGAATGGCTGAGATCAATCCATGCCACAATACTTTGGAGGTACTTAATGACACCAAAATACTAAAGAGGTACCATTTAAATCATGAGGGAATGCCATAACATATCCAACCAATCAGAATAATCCGATTAGTGCCAAAATTAAGTGTTTTGCAACAGGCAAAATGCAACTCTGTAACGCTGTTAACTTGGGGATCTCCAGGGCATCTGTAAGTCGTTGCATTCACCAAACAATAAATGTGCTCTGTAGACCTCATATTATTTCACAATTCATTTGTTTCCCTTTGGTGATTTGCCAGCTGCAAAAAAACAAAACCAACTCCATGGCAATTCTTTTCCTTTTGGAAAAACAAGCTTCTTTCTTCCCTACTTGTTTGTATGACATACAACTTATTCTTCAAAAAGTTACTACCTAAAATATGTATACAGTACCTACATTTTAATTGTTGACCTCACTTCAGTCTGTGTTCTTCAAACTAGCGTAGTTTTTCCAAAAGGAAAAGAATGCCAAAAACCATTGAGAACAGTAGCATATACGTCCCAGTTAGTCCAAAAAAAAACACTGTTCATTTGACGAGTAATGAACTAGTAGTTATTAGAAATAATCCATATGTGGCTGAGAGAGTTTTGTTCATGTTGGAATATATTGTGAACTTCATCAAAACTCGGGCGTATTAGTAATGTACAAACTGTTTATTTACGTTAAGAAGCACTGTGGGTTTTCTTTTCCTTTTTAATGTAATTGTGCGTGAGGATGCAAATTTTGGTTCCATGCTGTTTGTTGAGTCAGGGCCGTATTAGCGGCGCACCCTATAGCTTCTGCGCGCGGCGAGGCTCGTCTTCGCGCCAGTGCGCTACGGAACCTAAGACGGGTAAGGCGTGCGGAGTGCTCTCTGTCCTATCCTATCCTGTATTGAATGTGCATTTTAAGTCATAAATGTCTAGCTATTACGTGTAATGTAAGTTTGTAAACTAGTGTTTTATGTTTAACTCCATATTCTGTCCCGTGTGAAAAAAGTTTTAGTTTCCATGTGTGCGCTGTTACTTAGCCCCATTTTCTTTTTAGGATGTTAGAGAGCTTCGTCATGCGTGTGCTGCCGCTAATTGTGCTTACTGTGTTTAAACAGACTGAATAAAGCGTCCACAATTCAGACTCCTGTGTACCGTGTGAGTCGATACCGGCTGAAGTCTGCTACACATAGTTAGTAGATAATTCCCAATAAGGTCTGCAATACTCAATAGTTCCTAATGAAGTACTAGCGAATTACTGCAATTATTAGTTCACTATTACCTATTGAGTAATTAAGCATAACTCCTTAGTAGTGAATAATTTAGGTGTTAATGAAGCACTACTCATTTGTTGCTGCTTAGTTCCTACATATTTACCTGTTAACTACGGAACTATTTTAAAGTGTTACCTTTCTGTGTCCTGCATGGAGAAATTCAACTTTGCCCAGAGAGGGCAAGTTGAGTAATAACTGTATGTGCCCTTCTGCACAACCTGTGTCAACAATGGAACATTGAAGTGAGTGAAACATCATTAATTTTAAGTCATATTTGTTATTGTGTGGAGGAGGTTCATTAAAGATCACAATTCAATTCACTTTTGTTATGACTGCAGTCATTACAGAAACATACCCATGCATCTCAAAAACAAACTGCATTGTAGATCAATGCATCCCTCCTGCCCTATGATGCTTGTATCCAACCCCAGGATATTATGCATCACTAAAGCAGTAGGTAACAGGGGTTTTGGTGTGCTGTGCATCCACATTAACAAATGCATCATCATTTACGAGAAGCACTTATAGATTATGTGCCAGTAGCACATGATAGCCAGTGTAATTTAAAGAAAGCAATGTTCTTTCACCTACCTGTTACAGTAGCTGCTTTCCTGAAGGCTGCATTCTCAGCTCTTGACCAAGACTGCAGCACAATTTATCTTGCAGTCACCCGGAGACCATTTAATTTGCAGCAATGCCGCGTTTATTTCTAAAGCAATGGCTTCCCATGCTTCGCGTTTGCTTTTTGATGTTACACCAGTGCCAAACGTTCCTTTGATAATACATTTACGCTCTAACACCAACTGGGCAAGGAGCAGTAACTGGTCCTGTGCCCACTTGGGTTTTCTCCTTCTTCTATCCATGACGAATCCAAGGTGATGAATTTTGGCTCAGCCTAGTTAAATTCTATTTAGTTCATTAATTCCTGAGTTGCCAGACTAGTTCCTATTAACAGGTTGGCAATCACATTTAGCTAAATAACCTATACAGGTGAGTTGTTTTTTCTGTAATTGACTTTTGAACATTGTTTTTTATTACTGCAAACAGGTTTATAGGCATCACAATGTCATACATTTTTTAAAATATTGTGAAGGTGCTTAGTCCATCACTTGCATATTCTGGCATTTTATTTGTATTGTTTTCTTTGTCATTTGCATTTTTTTGTATTTGTGTTTCTTGTTCTTTTTTTTGTTGTTTTTGCGGTAGTCTTTTCACACCTGCCTGCTTATAGGATCCAACCTGTCATTCTTCAACTAATCATAGAAGTGGTTTCAACCAAGGTCTTGCATGAGGACTGACGTCAGCCATAGAAACTGGGTCTTTTAGCTTAGGAGTCGGCTGTTTTCCCAACTAAAAGTTGCTATCAGCTACTTTGTGAATAGGTTTTAGGGGAAAAAAATCTTAGTTAAGAACTTCTAGTGCGATTTAGGAGTATTCTTAGTAGGGGTGCACCGATTGCAGTTTTCTGGCCGATCAACGATCACCGATCCTTAGGCAACCTTACCTGCCGATCTCGATTTTTTTTTGCCGATCTTGTTTCTTTCATAACTAAAAGACAGTTACTTCAATGTTTCCATTTTTATTGAGTAAATTGATATGAATACTCACAAAACACGAGGTAGTGTCCTCAAATATAAATGAACATATAAATGAGCATTGCTGTTTGAACTACAAAATCATATTTTTTCTTCCAGACTTCAATTTCTCTAATTTTGTAAAAAAAAAATATATATATAGCTGTTATGACACACTTGTCCAAAAAATAGGGAGGGAGGCAGCCTGCACTGCACCTCTCTCGGGAATGGGAGAAAAGGCTGATTTAACCCTCTGGGGCCTAGGGGTAGGAAACACACTTTCACTGACTGGGGCATGATCACACATTTCATCACACTTAATTCATGGCAAATAAATTATTTCTTATATATTTGTTTTGCCATTACACTCATCTTTATTTTAATATATATTGTAAATATGTCAGATTTTTGTTAAGTTTGAAATTTGACATCAAAGTATAGACATTGCAAAATGCAGTTTGGAACACTTGCAGAAACATTATAAAAGTACATAGTAAGCAATGCTGGCAGTTTGTTTTGATCCCAGATATCTGATCACCAGTCTTGGCTACATGAAGATGACTAAATGGTGTAGATGCAACATTAATTTGGATAAATAAATAAGAAAAACCTAACTCATGTAACTATTTCTGGCTCCTTTCATTGAATATGTAGCAACTTTCATGTGTATGAATGAGCCATTGTCACCTGGCCACGTCCCCAACCCCCTTTTATGGCGCTGAAGGGGATGTATCTGGATCGCGTTTCACCGTTGCGCTGTTAATCAAATTACCATGCGAATGCGATTTGAATACGCGCTAATGCGGCTATTTAGAATGTGAATAGCGATCTTCGGGTGAGAGCGGTACTACACGCCCCCGATGCAGGTAAAACAAAGTAAGATGACATGGTTTACTTTTTTGCCGATTTAACCTAATTAAAAAAACTTCAATACTTCCGACAATGGACGTTTTGAAAAGAAGACAGATTACGGATTTAGCCAGCGTTTTTTTCATGATTATACATTAAGATTTCAGCGAGATATTTATAAACTGAAATAGACGCGAAAAGTACGCGATGTCGTCGACGACATACTCGACCCCAAAGAGTTAAAAGCATATAACTAAGATCGGTGGATCTCATGGGAATATGGTCGATTTCTGATCCCCTCAAATTAACGTGATCGAGGCCGATCGATCGGTGCGCCGATCGATCGGTGCACCCCTAATTCTTAGTGGTAAGATAAAACGCTTTGTGAATATGGGCCCTGGAGTGTATATTGTGAATGGACTGCATTCAGATTCAGTGCCTTCTCCCTGCAGCAATCCAAAACAGGCCCGATATCTGGTCTGCATGAACATTTATCACTCATTTCTTATTCCATGTTTAAGCAGTTCTTAGACTTGTTAGTGAATTCCTAATAACTGACTTGATTCAGCCCCAGGCTAAATAAAATGCAGACCTTTTTTATATTGGTGTTTAGCATGACTCAGTGATTTAGGGATATGTGCCGGTATCAGAACAGTCATTTATCCAAATCCAAGGGCAGGTACAGCAATCCTATCTCTGTTGGTCCCTTGAGCAATTACTCCTTTATTTTATTTTTTCACAGCTGTAGCACTGAGGGTTGGAACACCACCACTATTTTCTGTGTGTGGAGTTTTCATGCTGTTACTTGTGCTTTGTGGGAATGCCGCAGTGTCCTCCTGCAATCCAAAGACATGCAGTCTCTCAGCTGCCTACAGTGCATGCGGGTGAGTGTGGGCGCATAAATCCCTGTGCCTTGTAATGGACTGGCACTTGGTCCACTGTGTATCACAGCCTTGTGCCTTATGCTGTCTGCAATAAGCTTTAGCCCACCCACCCAGAAGCAGTTACAATAGGGACAGATGATTTTTGTCATTATTATTATTATTATTTATTTGCAATTTACATCCATGCACGGATGGGGGTCTGGAGCATATCCAGGAAGCTATGGGCACAAGGCAAGGAATAACCCAGGTTGGGGCCCCAGCCCATTTCAGGGCACAGACATTCTGGTAACGCCAATTCACCTTAGCACGTTTTGGAAAACCAGAGCACCTGGACGAAACCCTACATGCAAACTCCACACATACTACTGTTTGGCTTGTGGCCCTTACATTGCAGTTTTCTTGGATATGCACACTTTGACCTACTGTATGACCAAGCAGCATCTGAAGTGCGCTCTTCAGGATTCCTCTGGCTGATTCGGTTGCTCTCTGTGTGCATTGTGCGTTCACCTAGCGTTGAGCACTTTCTTTCTGCTCTTGAATATCTGCACTATGCAGTGCTTTTTCTAGGCCTAGCGCTGGTAGCTTTCAGGAATGATGTTTTTTGTTTCTTACCACTCTGCCAAAGTGTCAAGCAGAGATCTGGTACTCCCATCACTGTGAGGGAAAGTTGCACCTCTTTCTTGGGCCTGTTGTTCTGAAAGCTCTGTTTTTACTCAGGATGGCAGATGAAAGGGAGGCGTGTAGGTCTGAGGCTCAGACACTCTTTGAAGGATCTCCCTGGAGTTCACTTCTTAGGGACACAACTCAGTACATCAGACACAATAACGCTTGATCTTGCAAAAGGAAAATCTTTAAAAGAAGTGGCAGAAAAGACCCTGGAGGGGGTGGAGGACAAGGGTTTTTTTCCCAACTCCTCACACTTTCTCTGACTGGGGATCTCTGCAGTGGAGGTTTTGAAGAACATTTAAGAACACGCCCAGCGCATGAGTAAATTGAAAGTCTGATATATAGTCTAAAGTTGGCACAAAAATGTGTGTGAAACAAAATAAATGACTGTGTTCAGATAAAAAGAATTATAAATGCTTTTATTTCTGGACTGGGCTTCAATAAATTAACTCCTGAATAACATGTACATTTTTCTCTGTTTCAAATTACTAATAAAAACGATTATAGTAGTTTTATATAATTACAAAGATGTACAGACAGTCCCTGAGAACTTACAGGCAGCTCATACTTTCAAACAGACCGCTATGAAGCCTGTCATATTTTAAAAATTGGGTTA